CTGGGAGCGGGAACCTGAGATGGCACTTGGTAATGTATTTCTCGTGAACACAGAACCATCCTTCCGGAGCAGTCTCCGGAGTCTCGTCGGGTTTACAGGCCTTGGCTAAATCTTTCTGGCCTACAGCCTGAACCATCAGATTAACAACCTCCTGGCTCCTCAGCAAAGAGGGCACGTGAGATCCGAAAGGGGTGCTTCCGCCTGAGCCGTCGTTCTTCTTCGTTCTCTTGGAGACTCGTAAAGCAATTGAGTCTCTGCCCTTCTTACTCGCTTCGCCCTTCTTCATCTTTTCACCGATTTCCAGCTTAACCTTCATAAGCTGAGCACCGGAGGGAGGAAGTTCAGTTTCCCCGGTACCCTCTTTGTCTTTCGTCATGATAGTAAAACGGAAGAAAGCAAAAAAAAAAAAAGGAGCAAAGAAGTCGAAGAAAAGTTCGGATGAAAGCTTTCTTGACTATGGATTCTCAAAAAAATTAACTGAAACAAATACAACGACAATAAAATAAAGAAGAAAGTGAACAGTTACCTGGGGAATCAAATCGAGACGTGGGGTGGTGGAGGAACAGCGCAGTTAATAACCGCAGCTTTATACCACGTCCAGCCTCGAAAATCGGAGTTGAAATTATTCAAAATACATTAATCCCTACCGTTGATTTAATCTAACGAAATCCGGGCCGTAGAATTAAGGTCACGCGAATCTTCGATTGTAATCATTATCTCAAGAAACAAGAGGTTAGGCGGTTACACTGTAGCTTCCGAGAAAAGAGATCTTATCTCGAAAGCTGGGGGAAACTGTTGGGCCCGAATTTAGCCCGTTAGCTGAATTAATGGGCCGAATAGTTGAAACCGTTTGCAACGCATTACGAGCCCGTTAGGAAGCCTCCCCTCAAATGAGGGTCAAATGAAATCGTTACCTATCGACAAAAACAGGTCACGAACAAAAGATTCGGGACCTCATTTTCAAAACAGCTAGCGAGAAACATCTCCGGAGAAACGTGCAAGACTTAGTCAAGAGGAAGCTGTTGCAAATCCCGCAACTCACGAAGATAATCATGGAGGTTTCGTCGGGAGAAGTTGAACGTGACCTAGTGCTATATAAAGAAGAGAAGAGATCAGAGAGAGGGGATTCGACTCATTCAACATAAAAAGACTCCAATACACTTTGTTCTTAGTCATTCTTTATAAACATTGTTCTTGCTATTCAGATCGTCAAGATCATCTTTGTAAACTCTTTTATTACCAAAAATCAATATAAACATCGTATTCATTCATACAAGTTCCAACAGGATTCAGCCTACGATTATCTTTTCCCAATTTATACCTAACCTAAACTAGGAAGTGAGTTTTACCCCTCACAATGACTAATCTTGAAATCTGTACCAGTTAACGACAAGTTCACCCTTTAAGAAAAAAATTGAGATCTAGATATCAAAGTATAGAATGTTGTCAAGGATCTTTAGTTTTACTTTCTACCCTGAGTGACAACGATTTCTGTGTCTCGAGTATTTGTTCTTTTAACCTTGAATCACAGCTTTCGTTCTCCCTCTTTATCTCCTACAAAATTCTCACTTCTTGTTAACAAAACGTTTTGCACTCTATAAACTCTTTTATCTTCAAATTATCTTGGTATTTCATACAATCATCATTCTCGAGGTTGTATTGGTTCTTGATCATAAAATAATAGCACGAGAAACGGAGTTAGCGAATGGAGGAGAAGCCTCATAGATGTCATAGTAAGTTTAGAAATAGTAACCTAGGATTCGGCGTGTAAATCTTTTGTGTCAGCCGGCTGATACAAGCGCGAGACGACTATTTCAGTTGGAATAGCGTTTTCGGCATTTTCAGTGACAATTGTATCTTGTGGGTCGCTAATGTTCATCAATGAGGAATCCTCTAATTTGGACTTCGATTTAGGGTATTTGATTAAATCTCTCTTTCACAAATAATGTATTAAGGATTTTTGGAACATTATGGTAATCCATTGATATTTATTATTTGTAAAAGAAATACTGTAGTATTTAATAATCTCTAATTTCCTTCCTTTCTTTTTTTGAACAAACCTTCCTTTCTATTATTCTTATTTATATATTAATTCTAGAATAATTGGTTGCCAAACCATTGACGAATTGACATAATACTTAAGTTTTATAGTTTTAGTTACATATGAATTGTAAAGATCACAAGTTTGAAAAAAAAAAGGTCACAAGTTTGATTAACGTTGGAGGTCTACTTTCCGAAAAAAGGTTTAAGTTCTATAGTTTAGGTATTGCTAAATGTATAGATCTACCGATCCAGAACTCAAAACATAATACTAATTTGGATGCCTTTACTCGATCATCCAATTTATTCAACGAATTTAATAATTCATGGTGACCTAACAGTGAATTCTTTGACAAATGACTAGACGGCAGTAATTGCTAAATGCGACTGTGACCAGCTGATGCATATTGAATGATGGCTACATTTAGTTGACAATAAGATCTTAGAAAGATCGGATTTTAACAAGTTGCAGAAAAAGAACAAAGAAAACGATTAATAACTTTCTTCGATATTATTATATCCAGCAAGGAATTGTACCACCACAAAAGTTTACTTTTTCTTCTTCTTCTATACATGACATATCTGCATATATCACACATGGAGTAGTATTTATTTACTCTCTTTCTCTCTATGTATCTCTTATATATTAAAAGAAAAACATCGTAACAAATTCATTTAATTATAACGAACACATGTCAGTTTCACAATAATTTGATAATAAATATGCTAACATGTTTGCACTATATTCATAAATATGTTCACACTATGTATTTTATGTTTATTAATATAAAACTCACATGCTTGATTCCAATAAAACTCTAGATTTTTCGGTTCGAATCAAAATAGATAATGAATCAAAAACCAAACTATATATACATATATATATATATATATTTATATATATTATTTTTATTGTTTACGATAAAGTTGGATAAAATATTCATAATTTTTAATTCGATTTCTTATCCGTTTTGATTTGAACCAAAAAAATCTGGATATTCAAAACTCTATGAAGTAAACCAAATACTAAAATACAATATGTAAAAAGAAGAAAATCACAAATACCAATATTTTTAGGAATGAATGTTTAATTTGATCCATTATATGTATATATATACGTATATGTAAAGAAATAATAGACTCAATTTTCTTTTAATGTTAATTACGGTATATTTATATATTTATCAACCACTTTTATATATTTTTTACATACATGTAAGAGTGGGCACGAAGCTGATATTCGAGATTTTAGAGGCATTCGTCTGAATAATCAATTATCCAATTCGATTTGATTCGTAGTCATCCATATATACAGTCATCCATATATCAAGTATTTTAACCGAATAAAACTAATAAATATTGTTTAGTAATAGTAATTATATTTTAATTGATTAAAAAAATAAAACTAACCTAAAATTAAACCGATATCCAGAGTAAACCTATGTTACATAGAAATGAAAGCGGGTACGCGGAAGCGGTAAAAAGCACAGAAACACAATTTTAAAAATATTTAAGAAATAGATACATGTTGCAAACTTATATATATATATATATATATATATATATATATATATATATCAAAGTTAATCTAATGAATAAAATATTGAAATAGTAAAATCCTGTGCATAATTCATACATTATAACTCAAACTAAAAATATGTAGAATTACAAAAAAACAAATATAATATAAAATGTGTAAATTATATCTATAATTACTTTGAAGTTGATAAAATATAGTACGAGAATTAATTATTTCATACACACCAACTAATAATATAAACAACATGAAGTAAAATGAAGAACTGAAAAAAACATATTACAGTTATATTATTATTCAGAGACCTATAATGGGAATAGATTTACATTTTTAAAGTTCAGCTCTATTGTTATTTATGAATTAATATTTCATATATAAAGTGAGTTAAATTAGGTTATAAATCAATTAAAATTTGCAAACCCACAAAAATTATGTTTCATCTTTTTGCACATCAATAATACAACCACTGTCAAGCTTCTGATCAACGACCATCACGCTTCCACCTATGAACCGTGCATTTCCGTCACGTTTCCAAACATCACAATTCTAGAAACATGATTTGTGACAATTTCATGTGATTACAAATGTTTCCGGTTCTGGTTCCATTTCGAAAATAAGAAATGAACCTCCATCCGTGTAACGTAGGATTAAACATACGTAATATCTTCTTATCTTAAAAAATAAAATTAATAATCTCATTTCGCGCAAGGCGCGAGTTATTATCTAGTTATCTTATAAATTAAAACAAAATTTATACAAAGAGGGACGGTTACAAGACCATTACATTTCTGTATCCAGTTCTTCTGGTTTAAATATCAGAAAAAGGGATCAAAGGATAATCTCAGAAGCTGTATTTTTGGTTCTTGGCGAAATTGTCACTTTGATCAGCATATATAGTGGAATATATTGTTCTGATTCTGTTCGTTGCCTCAATGAATCTTAGTAATGAAATTTGAGGCTAGATGTGTTGTAGAGACTATGTGACTGAGTTTCCCAGCTTGTAGATGGCTGAGGCAAAGAGATATAAGAGACATGTTACTTCCCAGACAAGTAACAAGAACTTGGAATAATCAGAGAAGTTTTCAGAGTGATAAAACCTTACAGCTTCTATAGTTGTTGTTTGGTTCAGGTTTATCACTGATAAATCTAGAGATCCTTGCTGATCTAGAGGAAACAATGGTACATCAACCATTATTAATGGCTTTGAAGCAACTATTACTGGAAGATTTGAAGAGTAAGCCTGAAACTGAAATTTCATAATAAATGGAAAAAAGATTATTATGATAGGTTCTTGAATAATAACAGTTTTATCTTGAGGGTCTTGGAGAGTAATTTCACCTGTTTTACAGATAAATCTTCTACAGAAAGGTCGAGTTCTGGGTTTAGGACAGCGAGTTTCATGGACAAGAACTGCAAGAGATTGTTGTCACTTTACAGATTTAGACTTCTAACTTTGGTTAATGGTGAAACAAAGGATCTTGATTTCATTACTTACCTCAACTTGTCTCTGGAGAGATTGAACATAATTGATGATCTCATCAAGCGTACCAGCTTTTCCAGTGACTTGGTTGCATCCAGGGACAAGATCTTGCAGATATTTCATCTTCTTACTGATCTTTTCTCTTCTTGCCTACAAAAGCAATCATTTTAAACCCTAGAACTTTCTTTACCTTGTAACACAAGACTCTCATTTGAAACACTTTTTTAATACCCTTTCTGCTAAACTGTGTCTGTCTGTAGCTTGCCCTCGACGAGCTCTCACGTGGATATAATCCAATTTTTGGATCTCTGAAGCTCCCTTTGATGTCTCCTTTAAAGTGTCTGAATATGCTTCCTTATTACTCATGTTCGATTTTCCTTTCATGTTTGACTCTGTCTCAGCCTCTACTTTGATCTTCTTCTCTGTCTTTTCCTGTTCCCTTGTCTTGACCTGAGACATAATTATATTAGAAAAAATCAAAACTCATTTTCAAAACATACTTTTAAGCCAAAATATGATCAAACAAACCTCTGATTTTCTCTTGGTTTTCAAGGAAATAGCTCTGTTTTCTTCACTGTTCTTCAACATAACCCCCATCGTATCAGCTGGATCTATCTGGCAACTACCTGTTCTTGAAATGCAGCCATCCATAGCTTCATGTGAAGGACCAAAACCCATGTTATAGTTTGTTCCAAAACCAGATCCAAGCATTTGAAAATGGCTGAAGGTACTCTGCAACAACTCATCATTGTTGCTTCCATGGAACTGAAGTATCTGAAGAAGTTCAGGTGAATCATTACTGCTCTGAGACAAAACTTCTTGTTGTTGAAGTTGTTGCAGCCATTTAAGCCTTTCAGGTACAGACATGTCCGCGTAGCTTAAGGACAAGCTTTCTGGAGAGACAAGACCTTCCAACATGTTGTTCTGAAATCTCTCAACTTGTATAAATGTATATGATCTTAAAAGTGAGACAAAAAGTACAAACAGAATATAGAACGGGGAAGAAGTTATGATTTTTTTTCCTTGTTGTGTGTTGGTTAAAGCAAAAGAGGATTTGCTATAAATGTAAGAAGATAAGACGTAGGTTTATGTAATGTTGTTTGGGTAGGTTGCGTCGAGAAGATGAAAGAGGTGAGAGAAATTAATCCATTGATATCATTCTTCTTAGCTTTAAATAGAAAGCAACATTGATCCACACACAGGTCCCTACTTCTTATGTTCAGGCTTGGCCATAAAATTCAGAACCCGAAATCTGAACCGAACCTGAACTGAAAAACCCGATCCGTTATCTGATCCGAAATATAAAATACCCGAATGGGTATTGTAGGATGGTACAAAAAAAATATTTGAATCCGAAATGTTATTAACCGAAATCGAATGGATAACCCGAAATATCTGAAATCATTAGTCAATATAATTATTTTATATATATATATATATATATATATATATATAAGTATTTCAAATATTGAGTTTAATGTTTATTTTGATATGATACATACAATCCCCTATATTATAATTGAGAAGCATTACAACATGTTTTGGTAACCACGTGTCATCATGAGAATGCTTCTCAAATTTACTAGAGAAAAATGTTGGTCTACATAAATATATAATATACTTTTTATTAAACTAAGAATAAAACTAATATTAATGCTAATCATTATTTTCTTAAATAAAATTTACAGAATTACCTAATATGGTTATAATTTATATATGAAATTAATGATTTGAATATGAAAGATTTGATATTGTGAAAATAAATTAAACAATAAAATTAAATTTTTTATTTATGTTATATTTTGAATTTTTAAAAACGACTATAAATTAATAAAAAACTTAATAATTTCACATATAATATTTTTGATTAATAGTTTACTTTTTGTTATTTAATAGATATTTAAATTAGATATATATATATATATATATATATATATATATACATATATATATATATATATATATTAGTAATGTTTAAATTAAACTAAATACCATTTAAAATACATAAATATTTAATTCCAAAATTGTATTAAGAACTTAATACTTTAATAACAAAATCTGAATTTTTTTTAAATGAGGATAAATTACTGTAAATATTAAATTTATCACATTAAAAATGATGTTATCAATATTTTAAATTTTTTTATTATAAAAATATACAAATGATCATAAACCCTATAAATATAAAGCTTCATTTATTAGATATCCAGATTAAAAGTATAATATATATATATATATATATGTTAATATCATTTATTAATTAGATATACTTTTATAAAATGATTGTAAATAAAAAATACGATTATTTTACTTAAGTGTTCGCTAAATTAATTGTATATATAATAGTTACAGATGTTTCAATTATTCAATATATATTTATTATTTTATAATATATAAAAGAACATAAAATAAAGAATAAAACATAAAATAATTTTTATATATAACTCTCATCCCGTACAAATACGCGGATATTAACCTAGTAAATATTAAAATACAAATAAGTACCTTAAATATCTAATTAGTTATAAATAAATACTTTAGAAATGCATATTATTTACAAATGATGTTTGTTTTCATGATTGATTAAAACTTTATTTTATTTTTATCAGTTTTATGTTTGTAGGATTAATTTCTATTCAATTTAGTGTTTTTTTAATGTTTTGGTTTACAATTTTATTTTTTTACTTCGGATATATCCGAACCGATATAACCCGATTCCGAACAATATATGGTTATTTTATGGAGTTTATGATGCAATAAAAATTTAAACCGAACCTGAAGTGTTATTATCTGAACCCAATCCTTAATAATAAAATATTAAAATGGAACTTATGAGTGTAAACCTGAAAATTCAAAATATCCGATCCGAATCCTAGCGTGTATCCGAACACCGAGACCTAGCTCTTACCTTCTTTATTTTTTATTTTTTATTATCACCTTCGTTTGTACTATCATTTTTTTTTTTTGAAACGCCACCTTCCTTTGTATATTAATTTTAATTATTTGTTAGTTACCTCTTAGCTCTAGTCTCTAGACATAAATACTCCCTATTTTTCATAAGCAATAATATAATAAATTGCGTTAAAAAAAACTCTCTTACAAAACTCAGGATGGTACCACAAATTTTTTCTTTTTGGGTTGAATATGGTACCACAATTTTTAATGCATACACTACATAAAGTTAGAAACATTGAGCAATAACGAATAAATCTTAATGTATAATTGTCTGCACAATAAAGTCCTATATATATTGATGATAAGAAATTTATAGACCATGGACCCGTAAGTTCTAGAATGAGGCATAAACCATGTAAGTTAATTCTCTATTGGAGTTGGAGAGTAAATCTTTTCTAATGTAAATCGAATATGTGACCTCCAAAATCTCTACGTTTTCTATAACCAAATAATTTAAGACACTAGACCAACTCATTGTTGGCAGTAAAACATGTTTTGACGTTTGAACTGAAAGAGCAAAAATATAGGATGACAGTCGAAATTATACCGTGTCATTATCTTAATGAACGTGACAGTTAAACGGATTTAGAGTTAGTGTTGGCGGATAAATCTGGTCCAGTGTTTAGACACTTGACTATGACTAAGACTCAAGAACAATTTGCATAAAATAGTCAAAAGATTCGGTATCTTAGGGGACTGAGACATAAATTGAGTAAAGAAAAGGTTGGAGCAAAGAAGGTGAGAGGAGTGTGGGTCTAAGTGACATACCCAACACCATGTGGGCATGTTTTTATGAACACTACATCTAGATGTTCGTTATCCCTTCTTGTGTCTATGCTTTTTTGTCTTTTGTCCTTTCAAGTTGATGAGAGGAGCTTATTAGGAAAATGAACGATGAAAGAGACCTTAACACTATGTGGAATTAGGGTTGGATTCTTGACTATAAGCAGCGACGTCTCAGATTATTTCTAGGCCATGATTAAAAAATATAACGGTATACTAATGTTGTCATAAAGTAGTTTTAAAAGTTAACATATATATATATATATATATGTTAGATGTTTCTTTTGAAATTTTAAGGTATAAACTTAGTAGTATATAGAGGATTTCAAAATTTTAAAATATGATTATATATTGATTTTAAAATATTCTAAACTTTTTCATATTTATATTAGGACTATGTTCGGCTGTTCCAGTCGCACATGATATCAAACAGCCTTAACTATAAGATAGCCAAATTAATAGATTTTAACTAAACACAAATTTTAAATGCGAAGGAACTAATTTACTTAATATATAATAAAATTTAAGCTTTCAAATTCTACCAACCTAAAATATGACAGAATCTGATAAATAATAAGATAATGAATTTGAATCAACCTTATACAAATATATAATCTCCTTAATATAAAAACTCAATGCTAATATATACATTTACAAATATTTATTTGTTTTCTTTAAAAATAAAATAGATTTTTCTTTCAAAGTATTTTCTTCTTATTTTTAAAATTGCATATAAAATAAATTTAAAATTTAGAGCATATATCTCTAATACATTGAAAACTGAATAATTTAATAGAATGTAAAAGTTTAACATTTAGTAGAAATAATTAAAGAAAATATAATCTTATATTTACTAAATACAATATTGATCTATAAAACTTTAAGCTCACAAAGTTTTACAACGCTAACCAGTACAATCTAAAATTGGATAGATTCAATTATATTTATATTCTCTTAATGGGTAAATTTGTAGGTTTCTAAGTTTTAACTTATCCAGGTAAACAACGAAATGCTCATTGTTGTTTCATTCAATTTTTTAAACCAATTAAAATTACAGTAGAACTTCAATAAAATAATACTCGATAAATTATTAAATATGATAAATTATAAATTCCGCTAGTCTTAGACTGGAACAGTATAAAATATAAAATATGAAAAAGCGATAAGATAATCAAATTTTAACAGTCTTATGTACATATATAAATATAAACATAAATCAATAATTTAAGGTATGTGAAGTTTATATAAATATTGTATAGTTTGTTTTTGTTCACAATAAATAAAATTTTAATTTCTTAAATACATTAAAACATTTAATATTATTTTCTCATTTATACGTAATATGTATATACATTTCCAATACATATGCTCTACACACTATATATATACTATAAAATCATATGGGACCTTGATTGAGTGGTAAGAAAACAAACTTGAGACGTCAACACATTTCAGATTCAATTCACATGTTATACCAAACTAAGTCACGTTGTTTATGAATACCACACTTATTTATATGTTCTTTCTTACAATCCATTTACATACTTGGAAAAATAATTTATCCATAGGATATATCTCCTTTTATAAGTTAGTTTATTCTCTGCATATACCTGAAATACCATCAGATTAATATATATATATATATATTTTTTTTTTTTTCATATAAAAACATTTTTTTATGAAAGAATTATTTAGTTAATAAAATATTATAATTCAAAGAGTTTTTACTGTACATTCCACTCAAACGAATAACGAATAGAACCTAAATGTCAGGAGTCAGGACCATGTGCCGCCAGTTTTCTACCCGTGGATCATTTATTTCCCCATACATGTCGTAGCCCTTGATTTCTTCTTTTCTACTCTAACAGATAACAATGGAACCAGTTAACTCATAAGTGGTCTTGTAAAATGGTCTTCAAAAAGAAAAAAAAAGAATTAAAAACGCTAGAGAGAGGGGTCGAACCTCTGACCTTGTGGTTAACAGCCACACGCTCTAACCAACTGAGCTACTCCAGCTAATTGATGTACTATCAGAACAAAAATATCATTATACTTGAACGTAGAAATAATAAGATCAGGGAGAAGATGTAGCTCAGTGAATTAAGATGAAAAAAGTTAACATTCTTAACATCCAATAATATTATAACACATATCATCGTCTATATATATTTCCTCAACTG